CCACACCCCCACACACACACTGAGACACACATGGCACCACACACCACACCAGCACCACCCCCACCATGGTGAAATCTATTTCAAGAGAAATCAGTCATGGCACAGAAACCAATGGTATTACAGCAAGACCATTACCAAGGCTAGAAAGCCTTTGTTGTTGTTGTTGGTGGTGGTGGTGGTGGTGGGGAATAGGCAACCTTGGGCCCAAAGGGAGAGAGCAAGAGAAGCTTCCCAGGATGGAGGTAAAGGAATGTAAGCATGAATGGGAAAATAACAGGGGTCATCCTGGAACAGGAAGGAGAAGGGAATATAGAAGTGCTGATCACCCCAAAATATACCTCTTACCAAGCTGTTCCCCAATACTTCTACAGAGAGGGTTCCTACATTTTCAGTTAGTATATATAGTCCTTCAGTTCTAATATAAACCATTTGGATTGGCAAAGAATGCTGACCGTAATTTTCCAGCATTCTTAATCTGCATACAGCATGCATATTTGTGAAGTTCTTTGTTGTTGCTGTTTTTACAAAAAACAAGCGGCAGCAACAGTGAATTTAACTGCACTCATCAAACCAGATAGCTTGGTGGCAACAAGTCCTTCCAGGGAAGCTATCTAAAACCCCCATCCATGAAAGTGGGTCCCCAGCCCAGAAAGGACCTTCCTCACCGAAGGCTCTTCACCGCTCTCACCTTTTCATTGGCCATGGAATGGTACCACCAAAACAGTCGTGTTGTGATGTAGTAAGCGATGATCACGTCGACAGTGTAGTGCTCATGAGCTACGAGAATGCAGATGATCCCGGCGGCACTCAGCAGCCAGCACACCAAGTGATACCACCAGAAGTGCCGGGGCGAATCTGGGCAGCAGGAAAGCAGAGTCAGTACGATTCCCAGAGACGGCCTGACTGACTGACTGACTGACTGACTGAGGGGGCTGGGGATGGAACCCGCGGTCTTACCCATGCTAGGAAAACGGAGCACGAGTAGCTCCCCCTGAGCTACGTCTTACAACTGTCCCAACAACCTCAAGAAGAACAATTAAGACTGCTAGAGCAATGAACTGCCTCAGTTTGCCCGGGCAGGGATGGCAGTCACTCTCAGGAGGTTGTTGGGCAACGAAATGTGCTAGGCCTTGCCCACCTTCAACAATCTATTTAATAAGGAAGATAATAGAATTGTTAGTTGGCTAGAGTTGGCTCATACTTGCTCACATACCTGATCCCACTGGAAAGAGAAATAGTATGGCCCAAAAGAAAAGGTCTATGAAAATAAGGAGGGGGCAAAATGAGAAAGAAGGGACATTTTGAGGTCTTAAGCTTACTTTTATTTATTTATTTATTTATTTATTTATCTATCTATCTATCTATCTATCTATTTTATTTATTTATTTATTTATTTATTTATTTATTTATTTATTTATTTTTTCCGGGTATCTGTGGTGGGGAATGTCATTGTGACGAGCAAGATTTGATGCTCAGCGATTTTATACTATTACTGTTAATAATGTGGTGCAGCTCCCCAGTGGAAAGCTCTGGCTCCTTGCCCCTCTGCGTATAGAAATTTAGCCTCCTGCTGAGGCTGCTGGGAAATTCATGCCACTGAGCAACTGGCGGGAGAAGTGTGGCATGATTGAGTTAACATGGTCATAACCCCACCTTTTCCTCATGTGTTTATGACAAACATGGCGGAAGCAGCCTATCCCTAGTTACCTGGCCATCTGGCACTGCTCCTTTTCTTTCTATTTTAAAGCTTTACTGGCTCAAAATAATAATTTAATGATCTAATAAACTGAAATCAGTTTCATAATAAACTTCGTTTACGTTCACAGCAACATATGTGTTCAACTATAGAAAAATGGTTGAAAAGCAAAAGGCTGACTCCCCAAAACTGAAGATGATGGTAAATGGTTATTGTTTGTGTACAAATAATTCTCGGTAAAATAGCTGCAGTTCCACAGACCCCAAAGTGCAATCATAGCCCTGTATTTGATTTTCTAGCTTCAATTTGTTCCTCATCATTTCTTAATTACTTCATCCTGCTCCTACATTCTCCAAGACAGCTTTCGGAATCCTAGGATTTAAATGCCAGAGGAGGCCGCAGGGAGGTCCGGCTCCAGTCCAGTGGCTATTGCACTGGAACACTGACAATCTCGGCAACCGTGACAACACTGAAGGTCTCATTAAATGCATTCTCCAGTCCCACCGGCCCCGTCCCTCCTGAAGTTTCGCATTTGACCTACTTTTCTACATGTAGGCCATCACAGCTATGAACAGCTCAAGCTGTCTGGGAACATTAGAATTCTTCTGTATCGTTAATCACCAGGAGCAGAGCTGAAATGGGTAAGGAGTAGTGATGTGGCCGGAATGGCTCTCTGACTACCGGTGGCATTAGAAGCAGAGTTTTTAGGAATTCTAGGAGACCCTCACATGTTCTTCTATGAAAGTGTGTTTGCTATGATACTGTGTTGAGATCACAACCCACTCTCCTTTTTCTGCTCACCAAGATTTTTTTTCTTTATTAATTACACTTTATTCACTTTGTATCCCCCCTGGGGTTCTCTCCTTCCTCCCGTCCCAATCCCTCCCTTCCTCCACCCTCTACATGCATGCTGCTCCCCAAGTCCACTGATAGGGGAGGACTTCTTTTCCTTCCTTCTGATCCTGGTCAATTAGGTCTCATCAGGAGTGGCTTCAGTGTCCTCTTGTGTGGCCTGGTAATGCTGCTTCCCCATCAGGGGGAGGTAATTAAAGAGCAGGCCAATCAGTTCATGTCAGAGACATTCCCTGTTCCTATTACAATGGAACCCATTTGGATACTGAACTGTACATCTGTGCAGGGGTCTTAGGTTATCTCCATGTATCTCCAGTCCTTGTTTGGAATATTAGTCTCAGCAATAAAAAACAAGGAAATCATGAAATTTGCAGGTAAATGGTGGGATCTGGAAAAGATCATCCTGAGTGAGCTGTCCCAGAAGCAAAAAGATGCACACGGTATATACTCACTCATATAGGCATACAATATAGGATAAACCTACTAAAATCTGTACACCTAAATAGACTAATCAAGAGGGAGGACTCTTGCTAAAATGCTCAATTCCTATCCAGAAAGGCAAAGAGGCTGGACATCAGAAGAAGGAGAAAAGAGGGAACAAGTCAGGAGCCTGACACAGAGGACCTTTGAAAAACTCTGCCCTGCAGACTATCAATGTAGATGCTGAGACTTATGGGCAACCTTTGGGCAAGAGTGCAGGGAATCTTAGGAAAGAAGTGGGAAACAGTAAGATCTGGAGAGGACAGGAACTCCACAAGGAGAGCAACAGAACCAAAAAATCTGAGCAGAGGGGTCTTTCCTGAGACTGATATCACCAAGATTTTTTTTCTGCTATTTATTGCTTTGAGAAAAGAATCTTGCTACATAACCAGGCCTTAGACAATCCTGCTTTGGCCTCCTTAGTGCTGATGTAACCTGTATCCAGCCAGTATAAGCTATTTTGAACAAAACACACGAAAAAAGGCCACTGGGAACCCTGTTTGTTCATTCACTTTAGGGATAACATCAAGTAAAGAAATGATAACAAATGGATCTCATTATCTGTGTGAGTTCTCCAGCAGAGAACCCACGGGGTAAATGGACTCAGTTCGGTGGCAAGCATTAAGAAAACCCACTGATGACAAGGCCAGACATACGGTATTAACAGCCACAGCTGGCCTCTGCAGGCACAGGTTTGAAAGAATCCAGGCTCCAGGGAGCACATTGGAGCAATCAAACCCTTTCATGTTAACCAACGAGATGGTCCTGATCCAGTGTGCTCTCCCAACTAAATTTAAATCCACTTTCAACAAGAGTGCTAACAAGGAAAGAACCCAGAATGATCAAAAGGCAGGAGGGTAATCACATATAACAAACAGTACAGCCTCTAAAAGCAGACTTGCCGGGGGAGCTTACTCCGGGAAACGAGACAGGTACGTGAGAGTCGGTGCCAATAGGCCGGGTGTAAGCGCATGCTCCGTGTACGTAGTTGGCCATCGACACAGCTGAATTTACACTAGGCAGATCTGATCTTTTATTTGGTGTCAAAAGTTGTTGGAAAAAATATAATTCTTCACATGCCATAAGTAAACTTACACAACTTAAAAAAAAAAACGCCGTAGGGAAACACATCTCTACATAATGTATACAGACTTAATCACAACTCGCCTTTCTGGACACTGAAGGGAAAGACCGAATAATGAAAAGTCCTGTTTGCTATTAAGTAGACTACTCCTTTATAATCCCGTGAGATCAGACAACTTGAACTGACTTCTGTTTCTCTTTGTTCTTCCTTCTTTGTGCGTGTGTGTTGCACACGGGTACATATTCATGTGTGTGCATGTGCAGGCTGGAGGGGCTGATGGCAGGCGTCTCCCTTCCTCAGTTGTTCCTTGCCTTATTTTAATCCCAGACAGGGTCTTCTCACTGAATCTCACCGTGGTGGTCTGAATAGGTCTGACCCCCGCAGACTCACATATTTGACTGGTTTGCCCATAGGGAGGGGCAATGCCGGGAGGCGTGGCCTTGCTGGAGGAGGCGTGCCACTGTGGAGGTGGGCTTCGAGGCCGTCCGTATGCACAATCTACACCCAGTATGGTTCACTGTCTCCCTCTGCTGCCTTTGGGTCAAGATGTGGAACTCTCGGCTCTTCCAGCACCGTGTCTGTCTGTGTGCTGCCGTGCTTCCTGCTGTGATGTTAATGGACTAAACCTCTGAAGGCAGCCCCAGTTAAATGTTTACAGGCATGTGCTGTAAAACATTCAGTGTTTTACAGGCGGGCCAGAGACCCAAACTCAGGTTTCCATGTTTGCAACAGCAAATAAATTACTGCCTGAGCCATCTCCTCAGCCTAAAATCTCTAGAAGTTCTAAAGAGAACCAAGAAATTAGGACCATAATCTCTGGAGTCAGGTGATTGAGTCTGAACACTCAATCCTCCACTCCTGGAGCTGCGTGTAATAGCCAGGTCACTTCCTGTACACTTAAGTAGAGAAAAGGGGATGGAAAACAGCACCCCCTGGAGGGGAGAGTAAACACTGCAGAGTGAGTTTGTGTCAAAGGCTCAGATTAATGCTGCTCATAGAACTATTACTATCTGTGAGGCAGTAATAGTTGCTAGTACCACTTGATCTTTAGATAAGTGAATTAATAGACACTAAGTTCCCTGGGGCGTCTCCTTTTGACAATGTTATGGTTTTTCAACACACAGGGCCTTTACTGGGACACGCAACGCCTGAATGCCCATCTTCTGTAAGCTTCCTACCACCCACAGATGGAAGAGTGTACTACTGGCCGAGAAAATGAGGTACCCTCTATGGATGGAACTTCTTTGGGCAAATGCTGCTGTAACTCATGATGATATGTTAGAAATTCGGCAATCCCATTTAATGGGGAGAGACCTGTGAAGAGGTGAAGTAGCCCCTTCCCCAACACACTAGCGCACGTGGACATAAGGGATGGGTTCAGAGGCCCTTTTTAATGCACAGGTGATAAGAACCCCACATGCAGTTCAACCTGTCTGGATTAACGAAAAGCCAAAAGAGGAAGGGAAAACAAGAGATGCAGGCCTGTGCCTGCGGTGGTTTGAATAAAAGTGGCCCTCACAGGCTCATGTGTTGGAACGCTTGGTACACAGTTGGTAGAACTATTTGGGAAGGATTATGGGATGTAGCCTTCTTCAAGGAGGTAGGCTTTGAGGTTTCAAAAGCCCATACTATTCCTAGTTAGCTCTCTCTCTCTCTCTCTCTCTCTCTCTCTCTCTCTGCTTTGTGGTTGTTGTCTCAACAAGCAAGCTCTCAGCTCCTGCTCTATTTGCCTCTCCTACCTGATTCTATGCTCCCAGCCATAACAGTCATGGAGTCTACTCACCCTCTGAAACGGTAAGCAAAGCCCCAATAAAACTATTTCATTCATAAATTGCTTTGGTCATGGTGTCTCTTCACTACCACAGAAGAGTACCTAAGACAATGCCCAAAGCTCTTTTGTACTTGCCAAGCAAAGAGAGGAGAGAAGCTCCTGGAAAGACAGGGCACAGGGCATTTGGAACACACAACAGTGGTGCAAACATGGAGGAAGAAGCATTGCCATTCAAAAGGATGACAGAGATGGGCAACACCCAGACAGCAACACAAAGGGAGCCTGCTAGGCAGCTAGAACCAATCACAACCCTGTAGTGAATAAGGCACTGCTTCCTCGGTAAAAGCCACTGGAAAGCACTGGGGACACAGGAGAGCTGTGAGTTCCAAGCCAGCCTGTACTGTATGGCGAGACCTCATTTCAACCAATCAGTCCAACAAACCAAACACCATCCAATCAAGTTGAAAAAGTAAACTGCTAGAAACATTAAAACACAAACTATTACAAAATGTAAGTAATGGGATCTGTGTATCGGTAGGGAAAGGATTTTTATTTCTTGCCTGCATGTTTCTTAAGGAGGAGATGCTCCACAAAATGTCCTAATACTGTAGAGAGGGCTGGGAAATGATGAGTGATGACAATGGAATAAAATGGGACGAGGGTGTGGATAAAATCGAGGAAATAGCATACGAATTGTCAGGAATCATAGAGTGTCACTTTGTAGCTCTGGCTGGACTAGAATTCACTATATAGACCAAGCTGGCTTTGAACTCTTAAGATCCACCTGCCTCTGCCTCCCAAGTCCTGGGATTAAAGGCATGCACCACCTTGCTTGACCTGTTCTTAGTCTTGATGTTAAGAATGTCACGCGTTGAGAAGTACCAAGGAAGAAAGGAGACATTTGGAAGCATACTAAATGCTAGGAAAACAACAACAACAACACAGCAAGACTTTAGTCTTCAGGTTCAGGTCACAAATGGCTAAACGGAATGATAAAGTGCAGGCAGGCATGCAGCGTGGTGTTTACATCTTCTGTCTCCTAACTGTCAGGCCCAGCAGCATATGGGATCCCATCCATGTCAAGGCCCCAGAACCCCGCCCCCCACAGCAGCCAGTTCACTGAGGACTGACTGGTCACTTACATTCTTTGATGAACAGGTAAGTGAGCGTCAGCACGACTGTGTGGCCGCTGAAGAGGAAGTCCCCACACAGGATGTGTGATCCCGTTATGGACAACCCGCCGCCAGAAATCAACCGGAGAATCCGTTGTATTTTTGCCTGAGAGTCTCCATTGAGCTGAGTGACACAAGACACAGAGGAAAGTTTACAAGATGCCCAAGATCACATTTCAGTCAGAAAAGCCATCCACGTTGAGCTCCTTAGCTTCTTCTTAAACTTAAAAAGTCAAAAATATTCCAAGAGGAATCTAGGTTCTCCTCATTATGTCGGTCGGGTTTATTGACATGCTTTAAATTATTCAGTGTGTTACTATTAATATGTTTTTAGTGGTGTTGTGTCCTTGAGCAAAGCTTTTCAAAATATTAATAACCAATGACTTCACCTCTATGTGTTAAAAAGCAGATCAGAGCCTCTTTGCTTAACTTTGGTGGGAGGAAGCGAGGATTTGGGGCTGTTACCATCTGACTGGGCTGTCTACCTCACCTGTGGGTACCTTGTTTCAAGTGTGGCATCGAGAGTGCACACAGCCTCATTGGTATCTGCCGGTAACATGGCTACAGGAAACTCATCCCATAATTTAAATAGGTTTGGAGGTGACATATTAGGGAGTGAATTAGTAGACCTTCAAAGCTTTGACCAGGAAGCATATCACACAGTTCTACACAGGGTTCAAGGGTATGGAAGCCTCTCTAAGCCACAGGCGGTCACAAGAAACAATTGACAGGCTAGGGCAGGAATGTCAGGCAGCAGTTAAATACGTATATCCTATTAGGATTGAAGCATACAAGAAAGAGCGTGTTACGCCTTAAAATATGAGGCGTGAGAAGGGAAGATGCCGGGGTCCTGGGTGGACAGCTGCAAGGAAGCCTAACACAGAGAAAGTCAGTGAGGGGTGTCTGAGGATGGCAGGCAGGGAGAGTTAGAGTCTACAAGAAGGAGAAACACGGAAGGACTGGGCCTGACTTGGTTCACGTGGGATCCTGAGGACAGGGCTGCCTTCTTTCTACTCAGCTCTGTTGGCTCTGAGCCCTGGTCCCTGACGTGTGGCAGTCCAGCTGTAGCAATGGTTAGGGTGGCAGGTGGAGCAAACTCCATCCTGTCTTTCACAGATGGACACACAGCTGTGAAGGAGGGTGTACACAGATGGGGAGAGCCACAAGCAGACTGACTTTACAGCACTCTTCAAAACAGGCATTCAACCAAATACATCAAATTGTATCTTTATCTTTATCTAAGATACAATACAACCATTTGCTCTATCAGCAGCTACCATCCTTTCTCTGTCATGAGATTGGTACAAAAACTACCCACAGTGACATCATTTAAAAAGGACAGCCAAGCACTGTACTCCCAGACTGAAAGGACGTACATATTACCCTTCACTTCACCTCTGCTCACCTGTCGCAGCGACTCTACCTTTCTGAAGGTAGGAGCACGTAATGTCATTAGTCTCTTCTGACCGGGCTCAGATGCCCTGAGGTCTAACACAGTAGGCTTGTAGACCACACACATCATGCCCCCTCTTTCTGTTCAGCACGGTTGGTACGAGGTCCCCGCCTCCTCCATATACAGTTTGCATTCAGAGGTCTCAGTTACAATGCCAACCACAGACCAACATATTAAGTGGAAAGCTCCCATCAAGAAATCGTTTTTTAAGGTCTTTTTGTTTTTAAGTTTTAACTACCTTTTATTACAATACAGCAGCATCCCCCCACCCATTTTTATCATTGGTTATTTTAATTATTTTTACTGTTCCTACTTTGTAAATTTACTCACACATATATAGATGTTTACATATATAAGGACAACTGTATAGACAGTGTCTGCTACAATCTTCAGGTTCAGATACCCACTGGGCATCTTGGGATGTGCCTCCCGTGGAAATAGGAGACAGTACAGGGGGATGTCAGGTGGCCTTTGGTTGGATACAGTTATTCGGTGGAGAAACAGACTTTCTTAATTTCCTTCTCTGTTACATTTGCACGCCCATGTGTGTGTGTGTGTGTGTGTGTGTGTGTGTGAGAGAGAGAGAGAGAGAGAGAGAGAGAGACAGAGACAGAGACAGAGACAGAGAGAGACAGAGACACACAGAGGTGCATATGTAATGCAGACATGTGGCGCTGGGAAGGTAAGCCATGGGTGTTGGTTCTCTTTTTCCATCATGTGTGTCCTGGGGATGGACCTCAGCTCACTAGCCTTTGCCTGCTAAGCTATCCAATTGGTTCCCTCTGTTAACTTCCTATCCCTTAAATGCTGTCCCTGCTAATTCCAAGATGTAGGAATATGCTTTAGAAAGGCTAAACGGAAGAAAGCAGGGGAAACCAAGCAGGGCGAGCCTGGGAAAAGGAGGGAGGTTACTGAACAGTGGGACCCGTGGATGACCTTGATGATCTCCTCTAGGCTGATTTCAGTCACCACACATCACACAGCACTCATTTCTACTCAGCTCATTGTTTTCGGCCATCAGTCTATGCAGCTGGCTATTGGATGTAAAAATGAAGCTTCAGAGACCTAAGAAATAAGCATCAATCAAAACACATAACACACAGGAGCCTGACCATTCTTAAGGACGCCAACTGTGACTCCCATATACTGCTTTCCACAAAAATAAAGTAGGTACAGAGCCTTCCAAGGTGGCTGCAGACAGACAAGAAACCTGACCGTCACTGCTGTCCCTTACATTAAGAAAAGCCCTTTGAATAAATTATAATAATAAGTTTCAATGAGGGGAAAAAAAAGAAAAAGAAAAAGAAAAGCCCTTTGATTCACAGCTAGACAATAGCAGAGACTGAGAGACCCTAGAACACTCAGCCCTTAATGGAACATCTCCATCAAATCCCTCTCTTCAGGGCTTAGGGAACCATTTGGAAGAGGACACAGAAAGAGTGTAAGAGCCGGAGGGGATGGAGGACACCAAGGAAACCAGGCCTGCTAAACACAGTGGGGCCAATGCATACATGGCAGCATGCACAGGGCCTGCACTGGTCAGTGCTGGGTTAGAGCCGAGGGCAGGAATGCGCGGAGGCCCCTAGCCTAACCTGGAAGCCGTCTCCAATTGATAACCACTTGCAAATGAAAATTTAGATTACTCCGAGGAAGTCTCACTGGGGAAACAAACTACTCCTAAGGGTGGGCTGCATGTCCAGAAGGCCAACAGAAACGGGACTCATTGGCATCTTTAGAAGCTCCTTATCTCATAATGTCATGTCAGGGCTTTTTCTTTCTTTTTTAATTTTGTCTCTTTCTTTTTAAAATCTTTCTCTCTCTCCCTCCTTACATGTCCTTTGTGTATAGTGTGTGTGTGTATATGTATATGTATATATATATATACACATGTTTATATAAATATATATACATGTATATATATACATGTATATATATGTATATATGTATATATATGTATATATACATGTATATGTATATATACATGTGTATATACATATATATACATATACACATACACACACACACACACACACATATGTATGGTTTCTGTTTTGCGTTTTTACTGGACTCCTGACTGCTCACGCAAGCGGGTCTCTGTGTCTCTATCTGTTTCTTGTGCCTTTTCTTGGGCGCTCTTTCTTCTGTTTGTTTGATTTGTCCTACTCTGATGTGTTCAGTTTTGTTTTATCATATTATATTATACTATCATTCCTTAGAAGCCTGTTCTTTTGTAATGAGACACAGGAAGGGGATGAATCCATATGGGGAAGGGGGTAGAAACTCCGAGGGGATGCGGGAGGAGCAATGTGAAAAGAAAATCTATTTTCAATTAAAGAAAAAAGGCCACATAATATGCATGTATAAAATTTCTAATTAGTGAAAGAGGAAAAGATTAAAAAGGAAGAAGGAAAGGAAAGGAAAAGCTCTCTGGCCATCTATAGCCATGGGGAGGGAAAGCTGTACACAGAAGGCTTTCGTGGGGAAGGAACGTGCCACTGTCTCTGCACAGAACGACTTGGAGAAATTAACTCATTTCACAACAACTGAGGCAACTTTCACCTAGACATTCAGATAGACACGGGCTGTAGACCAGAGCTTTTGTGTGTGTGTGTGTGTGTGTGTGTGTGTGTGTGTGTGTGTGTGAAGCAGACTGTAAGGCTTTCCTAGGAGGCGTGATGCAGGAGCTGGGGATGCTACTGCCATAGCTCTGTGAGTGTTGAGTTATGCGACTCTTTAGACAGGACGCCCTCTCACAGACAGAGGTTTCTGTCACTGCTCACTCGGAAGGACACTCAACAGCCTTGCCAACACAGGAATCAGGTAGGTGTCGAAGAGCCTCGTGGCCATGAGCATCGAAACAGTGCTTGGGCCAAATTTAGAAGGTGACTTCTGACTCCTGCTCTCCATCACCACAGCACCCGCAGCCAGACAGGGACATGCAGGTGTCTGTTTCACAGAACCCTTTGCAGGCAACTGCAGCCGCCTTTGGAGGAGGAGGAGGGCCCGCCCGATCCCCAACTGTGGTGGGTGATTAGTCAGGGAACCTCCAACAGGAGTGTCTGTGGCTTGAGCATCCCACAGCATATTTACGTTCTTCCAGGAAGGGCGACCTTCAGTCTGTCTTTCTGTAAGCAGGGACCCTTCCCACCTAACCTCATCCATTCCTAGGAAGGGCTTGCCTTCCCCTCTTCGGTGGCCAACTCGCCACTGAACACACTGTAATAGTCAGACATGTCTTAAATTAGTTTCAGTCAAACTCAGCCAGTGTTTAAATTCAATATGTACACTGTTCTAATTACAGACACATACTGCTTTGATGGCTTTAGGAAATGACTGCCTTTCCAAACCACACCTATATTTGGTAAGGGAGACGGCCTTCCTCAGAACCACTCTGTCCTCCTTCCCTTGACATCTGGTTAGCGTTCCCTGAACTCTAACGTCAGCCCCCCATTCCCTTATCCAGAAGCACATGATCTGTCAGCGTGTTTCGTAGACCAGAGCTCGCAGGGATCGATGATGAAGAATGGTCCTCCCGTGACTGGATGCTACATGAGGAAACTGGAACTTCCCTTCAGACAGCTTCAACAGCAGCAAAAGCTTCAAAGGCTACTTCCTGTTTCCAATTGTGACTCGTTTGGAGTCAGGTTTGACTTTCTCAAATCCTATCCATAGAATTAATATGTATATCCTATGAATCTTACCTACAAAAAGTGTCCTGAATTCAATAACATCAGTTCTACAAACATGAGCACCAAGGCTTCCATGAGAACCTTTGCGGCCTGTGGCCCAGCCTGCTGACCCTCCTGCTACCTGCAGTTCCTCAAACCCTGTTAAACTAATAAGCTGTTCCCCTGGCCTAAGCTCTCACCCCATCCACGTGGCTGACTCCCCTGCTTCTTGCCCAAGTGTTTTGTTTTTTTAAACATCTTTTCTTGACCTTTCTGTAGAACAGTTCCTACTGACAATCATCTGATTTACCACCAAGTGATAACATTAGGAATTTACTTATTATTTGATCCTCCTTGAAATAATATAAGCTCCAGGGGAAGGATGAGCTTTGCTCACTACAGTGGCCAGGATGTTAAGGACAGTCGTTATAGAATAAATGCTTGAGATATATAAATAAGAAAAACAAAACAAACAAACAAACAGAGAGTCAAATGTTGGTAAGTTTTTGGTTTGCAGAAAACAAATTCTTTATACATGAAAATGTAAAATTCTTAACGAACGTCTTTCCCGATCGAAAGCCAATTAGAGAATATGCTAGATCGCAGCTGACACCTACGGAAGAATGTGCGACAGAGCGGGTGCTTTAAAATCGCTTTCTTGATCCCCCCCCCTGCGGGATCTGGAGGCTTACCTTCGGAGCACACTGGAAGTGCATTCCTGGCACAGGTAGCGTAGTGACGTACATAGTTATGCAGCGATATAGGTATAAGGTTCCGATGATAAAGAAGAATCTGCGCCCCACTATTGACCTAAAGAAAACACGGGGGTGGGGAGAAACAAGTTTACCAGTTGTCTGTCTTGTCGTTACTATTTCTTTTTTTAGAGGGGGAGGTTGGGGTCTCACTCTAGTCCAAACTAGCCTGGACAACGTTATGTACCCAAGTCTTGCCTCAAACTCATGATCCTCTGGCCTCAGCCCCCTGAGTGCTGGGATTGCAGGAGTAAACCAAGCCCACCCCAGGTCCCCTGTGTTCCTGATGCAATATAAGACAATGTTTAATGGACTAAAAGTAATTGAAGTGATGGAATTAACAAATAAACCTCATTTTCACAAAATCCCAAGGCCTGTGAGAAGAAAGATTTATAAACTAAAACTCGTCTAAATGATTTTTGGGCCTGAAAGGGCTCCGAATGTGGGGACAGGAAAAACTTACAAAGAGAGTCTATATATTCTCCTTCTCCTAACAAAATGTCTCCCTTTGCCAAGGAATTCAGTGAGCCTCTCTGTTTTCAGTCAACTCGGTGATTAATAACCCCCCCCCCCCCAGAGAACACATCAGATGTGTGTAAGTGAGCCATGGCCATAGAGGAATAATCTAATGAACCAGGTGACATTACATAATTGGATACGCAGGGAAATGTGACAAGTCATTAAGCCCTAGTTACGTAAGCAAGATTTTAATTGGGACCCTCCAGAGGTAGTTTGGCAACTTAGGCATGAACTGTTTCCTCTGACTGCGCAGGTTTTCACTGAATTACATTTTGAACGTGTCCAAAGTGACTGCTGGAGTGAGTCACCATTATCTTATTCACTATTGATTTTTAAATGGCAAAAGAAAATAAAAAGGCGTACAAAGGTTAGTATCATTTGCCTTTTTCTGAACAAGACTGCACTATTATTTATTGAAAGCATTATTAAAGCACTGTTTACGATAACCACAAAATGTAAACAGCCTAAGTGTCTACCAGCTGATGAACAGAGAACGGATGTCATGTCTATGTATAATATAATGATTCAGACATGAAAAAAAGTTTAGCCCTGTCATTTGTGACAAGTTGGATGCGACTAGAGAGCATCATGTTAAATAAGCCAGAATAACAAGAGAATCAAGTGCAGAATGATTCCACCCCTTTGCCAAGCTGAGAACGGTTGGTCAAGCTGGGCCCAGACCAGAGCTTCCCGGAGACTGGGGTGACTCTGTGTGTTAGGAAGGGATTATGTGGAAAGGTTCATCAGTGTGTACAAAGCCACAGTTAGGAACAAGACACGGTGCTGAGGTGTTCCACAGAGCAAGATGGCTACTGTTAACGATGTACCGTGTATTTAAGAAATAAGTCGGGAGGACTTTAGATATTTTGCCATAAAGAAAGTAATAAGTAGTCTTGAGAGCTGGTCAGTGGCTAAGGGCACTGGCTGCTCTTCCAGAGAATATATGGGTTCAATTCCCAGTACCCACATGGCAGCTCACAACCATCTGTAACTCCAGTTCCGGAGGATCCCATGGATTTTGCAGGCATTAGGCACATACATGGTGCAGAGACATACTTGCAGGCAAAACACCAATATACATAAAACAAAATTTAAATTTAGAAAAATTTTTTTAAAATAAAAAAATGTGTTTAAAGAGAGGCATGCTTAAATTGACATGAATATCACATAATACACATGTATATGTATGTACACATAATATCTCATTATGGAATCCAATCTTGTATGTTTTATGTTCCAGTTAAAAATTAAAGGCCTGTGTATGTGGCTTAGGTGTTGGAATATTTGCCTTATACACAAAGGCCTTGATTTGATTTCTAATACTGAATAAGCCATCACCTAGCATTTGGGAGGCAGAAGCAGGAGGAAGATCAATAGTTTAAAGACAACACTAGCTGAATAATGAATTTAAGGCCAATCTCTATCTCAGAAATTAAAATAAAATTTTGTAAAATTAAAAGAGAGAGATAGGTCAAGACATTAAGGCAAGAAGTCCTTTTCACCGGACATCTTCATAAGGCCACATGTGGCAACTGCACATAATTATAGTAGATAGTGAGAAATTTCAGGGTCATGTGCAGTCTTCACCGTGAGGCTCTGAGCTCTTCTGACTCTTCAGCCCCAAGTCTGTTGTTCTCAGAAGCTGACTGAGGCCAATAAGCTCTGAACTCATGGGCTTTGCCCACAGCATGGCTGCCTTTTGGGTACCCGCGTGGTTATAGAGGGTCTGAGCGCTCTCAGTTCCAGCTCATGGTGACAACCCCCTTTCTGTGGTTATTCTGTAAGCCCCAGCTCTGAAAATAGGAAGGAGCATGGGCGGGGGGGGGGGGTGTTACCCACCCCTGAGGTGCTTGTTTCAGCTCCTCTAGAACATACAGTGTATTCACTCCATGGTGCTCTCACCCTCACAGCTCTCAAATTTTCCAAACTATCACTGACAAAAAGACTGCAGAGTAACAGATCGCCTCAGAGATGAGAAAAAATTTGTTTTCTCCAAGACACAGTTTTTCCACACAGACCGAGGTCACATTGAGGTAACTGTTGGGACTTCTAATTAGAAATAATATGTATAAATATGTATTTTAGTTGCCTGCCACCAATACCTATTTCAAGAACATTCTAGGGTTCCAGGTGAGGAGAGGTGAAAGGAGCAGAGCCAAGTCTGTTAGATGGAAGTGCTTATTTACTGCCTCTTTGGGAACCTAGCTTTGCTGTCTTAGTACCGAAAAGGAACAGGCGGTCAACAGTGGTGGCTGTTTTTCTTTGGTTAACTGAAAGCAATTTGCTCCGTGATTCAACCCCAGGCCCCAAAGGAATGCTGTTTTGAATTGTGTCCCATGCTATTAGACAAGGACAAGAAATAAGGAGATATTGTTATAAGGCAATTATATTCATTCCAGTGCCATGTGCCCAGAACAGAAAACTAACTTAGGTGAAACATTCACTCTACAGGCTTATTTAGAAAAGGAACTGCTCGTGGTGTCTTTACCCTCACAGCGTTTGAAAGAAGAGACTTGAGAGTTCGAGACCAGCCTGGTATATAGGACCAGGACAGCCAGGGCTCTGTTACACAGAGAAACCCTGTCTCAAAAATACAAAACCAACCAACCAAACAAAAAACAAAAAACCAAACCAAGATTATGAGAATTATTCTGTCAGTTACCAAAATACAAGGTTAAAATCTACTTCAGAAGTGAACTGGCAAGTTAGTGCTGTTTGTGATCTTAGAGGTCGGTACAAAGTACTCAGCAAAGGTATGTGAACGCAAAGCTTTTTCCATTGTTCCTTTCTTTTTATTTTTCTTTGTGTGCGGGGGATTGAACCCAGGGCTTCAAGCATGTGCGTCAAGCACGGTACCCACTGAACCCCATCTCCAGCCCATGACCATGAACTCGACATGGTAAGCTCTAAGACGGCAACAGAAAGCCTGTCATAACAGCTGGATCTCCCATAAACCAAGATGAAGACTCTGCTGAAAGGGCGGGATCCGGTTATACACTGGACTAAAGCTCTTTTCACACGAATGTGAACAGAAATTGCCTTTACACACACATTGAAGGAGACAGTAAACATCCAGAGCCTAGGCAAGCCCTGCTATGTTTAGTGCCAATTCCAAGCACTGAAAAGGAAAACGAATGGTCAAGAAACATATTCTTGATTTCAGCATAACGAATGTCGTGAATGGGGCGGGCAGAAGCAATCGGTTTCTACCGAGTAGAAGGCAATTAACTGATAGCTCTGCTGTTTACCCAAATACACTGAAGAAACATTTTGAGAGTTATAATAAGGAAACCGCTTATGGAGGGCTTCTGCTTGCCATGCAAGTTTAGAAAACTGCAGGGTTGCATCTGGGAAAGTCCTTGAGAAGAGCAGGCACACTTCTAAATACAAAGCAACAACCACCTTGACTCTCTGGTCTAAAAATGACCTTGGGGCACTAACCCTCCGCTCTGACTTGACTTGGAATTCTGAAGCTGGATGGAGGGAGTTCCCACACTTTACTTTTTTTTTTTTTTTTTTTTAAAGTCCTAGATTGTGGGTATTTTGCTCAAGCTTATATTTTGGGGATTTAATTAGTGGGCTCCAGTAGAAAGCAAACACTCAAATGACATGAGAGGACAAGGGGAATTGAGCGGGCTCCAATTTCGTGGACCAGAAGTTAGAATTTACAAAGAGAAGCAGAAATAGCCAAGCTGGAGCTATGTTCAATTTTTGTGTGTCTTCAAGATGCAAAGCCCAGCTGAATGCTTCCCGGTTGGTACTGTTGTGAGATGGGCGGAGAAAGGCAGGGGCTGGACTACTGAGCCGTGTCCTCCTTCACAGTGCCAAGAGGAAGGCAGGGAGGACAAGTTTACTTTAGAAATCTAAAACCCAAACCACCGAGAGCCAGCTCCAAACCCAGCCTCTTAAACAAACACTTGTTACTTTGTGCCTGGCAGGAAAAGGACAAGAAAGGAAAAGAACGCTGGAGAACTTCTGAGCACATATAAACTCAGAGCAGGCTGTGGGCGGCACACTAACCATCTCGTAATAGTCAAGGGCCTTAGCCTACTTCCCGCTGCACCTGGCCAGAGCCTGAAAACAACTTAGTTCTTTCCTACTACTTTTTTTTTTTTTCTTTTGAGACACTACGTAGTCCCTGGCTGTCCTGAACACACTACGCAGATCAGGCTGGCCTCAAACTCACAGAGACCCTTCTGCCTTTGCCTCCCAAGTGCTGGGATTAAAGGCATTTCCAAGCATCTTGGCTTAGGGTAGGGATATAGCACCACACCACATAAAGCCAGGAACTGTACTTTAAATGGGTAAACTGAGACACCCTCCACGGGACTACCACAACCTCCTATTTCCACACGTGGCCACCCAATGCACGCCTATGGAATAGTGGCTGAATTCATTCACTTATGTCTATCCATGCTCTTTCCTCAAATGCCTAGGTGAAACTAAAGGCATTAGAAAATTGGGGAAAAGATCATTTTAATGACACATCTCCTCTCTTCAAAACAAACCCAGCTCCGCACCCAAATACCTTATTAGCCAATACTTACTTGTATCTCAGAAAAAGCCACTGGGTGATCCATAACCCAACTAATACAATCCCATTTATTTCTGATACAGAAAACGCCCATTTGACCCGGTCGATGTAATCAAAAAACTTGTCTGGGAGTGGAGGGCTGAGCTCCTTGGGAGGGACCCTCTCGTGCACAACCGTGATCATGACGGTTGTCAGGACAAGGTTGAAGAGGGCATACACAAAGGCAATGCCAGTTTTCCACCACTCCAGGGGAAACTTGTTCCTGGAGTCAGCCGGCATAGAGATCTGGATGTAGTCTGGGTATTTTTTGGCACCCTTTCGTAACCCATTGGATAAGCTCTTGGGTTTACCATTGCCATTTTTGTTGGCTTCTTCTTCTATGGCTTCGGCCGGGCTTGTGTAAGTGTTGGTGGAGTCGTTGGTTTGGTTTTCCAAATGGCCTTCAAGCTTTGCGGTCTCTATGATATCCATTGTCTGTTAGCCTTCGGAGCCAAAGGAGTTGGTAAGGTTCTTGTTCTCTGTGGGAACTTATCTCTTTTAAATTCTTCTACTTCCAAGATCAACATGGACTCTTAGAATTGATTGTGTGTGCTGATAGGAAACGTTGACGGTGGCCTTCTGGCTCCTAGTCCCCCCATACAACAATCTGCTGTGTAGTCACCACCAGGAAGCCGATTCCCTTTCCCACAGAAGATGTTACTGTCCCTCCTATGGGCAAAACAGAATGAGGTTAGAAACGGCTTGTCTAATTACCAACCATTTGAAATGTAAACCTTCTCAAAGTAAGGAAGCTAGTACCAACACTGCCTGCTTTACAAAGATCTCCTCAGAACACAGGTCAATGCTGCTGAGATTGAGTTTATTTATAAAGTACTGGACTGTTTAATCTTGGAACTCTAGCCTCTCTTTGAGCTGATGTCAGCATAGATTAGAACATCTTAACAATCAATTCCCAGTTAATTTCTTCGAATAAAGCCAGGACCTAACATTTCAAACACTTCACAAGTTGCTAACTATGAAGTCATAATACACTAGAACTTGTCCAGAGACCACGCCCCTCCTTCCCGATACTGGATCTTTTCTCACTTCTAATGGCAGCATTCAAGAGGCTGAGGTAGGAGAATTACTGGAACTTTGAAGTCACCCTGGGCTATGTGGTGAGGACCAGGTTAGTCTGAGTCAAAGTGTGAAATATAAAATATTTCAAAAAATATAAAAGTGTAAAAGATTGAAAACTCCGGTGGTAGATTGCTGAATTATTACTGTCTGCATTTTCCAAAATCGTCCAGTTTCTAACTTTCTATTAGAAAACCCATGATCTCTTTAAGTGACTGCTTTTATGAACAGACTGCAAAGCAACACATTAAAGACATTTAAAATGACACCATTTACAGCCAGAAACACACTACTTACAAAGACAACAACCTTCAAGCTGCCAGAGTGGGAAGCTGTACAAAGCTCTGCTGTGTCTCATTTGGAAAATGGGTTAGAAGCAGCCGCAGGGTGACTTCCTATAATTGGCCAGGGTAAAATGATAACGATATTTTGATACAAACATCACAATTTCTACCAACCAACAGAAACTGGCATTCAGTGGTCCCCTAGGAGCACTTACCTACCGTGGCTGGGGAAAGGCACCTTCGGCTTAAGTGCCACACACGGGCCAAGGAGCAGAGGCTTCTTCCCACACCGAGAAAAGCCGGCGACTCTTATACTGTCTTGCACTATGGCCCAGCTGTTCCCAATTTGGGATAGCAGCATTTCACTCAGGCCACCAGCCCGGCCACCTGAGGAGTTTTGAAACCTTGTAATTAGTCTCCACCCTAAGTACACTGTAAACTTTAGCATGCTCCTTTCAATTTGAAAGGCCTTCTTTTCAGGGAAAATGTGGTTAAATTCAATGTAGGGACAGCTAAGCCTTTATTTAATGGATAAAAAAGAAAATGTAAGTGGTACATTGAATATATCCAGCTCTGTCCTTGAAGCTATGGCGGCAAACAGATCATCTACCAGAGTTTATTGTACACTTATCTCAGCACTGAGGAATGCAGCGGCAGGTTAAAGGGTGTTCTTAAAAAGACACACCACACCACACAACACAACACAACACAACACAACACAACACAACACAACACAGGGAGATGGCAGAGCTGGTAAAATGCCTGCTGTGCAAGCATAAGGATCTGGGTTCAGATTCCAGGCACCCACTTTAAAACAACAACAACAAAAAAAACCAGGCAAGGTAGAGCATGCAAGAACTCCAGTGCATGGTGGGAGCGGGGGCGGCAGCTGGAGACAGGTGGAGTCCCTGGGCTACTGAGCAGCCATTCTAGCTGACTTAGTGAGATGCAGATTGACAGGCCTGACTCAAAAACTCAGGCACAGAGTGTCCAAAAAGACATCTGATGGTGACCCCTGACCTGTACTCAAGCATGAGTGTGAGCGAGAATGCAGTCTTGTGCTGTGTGTGTGCGCACACACCCACACAGCCGAAAGCACCTAGTTGAAGAGACAGAGCCCACAAGGCAATATTCACACTGTGAAAGAAAGACCCGATAAATTAAAAAGTTAGGTTTTATTGGTTACATATCCCTCTCCTCTGACGAGAGGCGTGCACTTGCAAAGACAGCCCAGTCTTGAGGAAGAAAAAACACTGGGGAAAGATCAGCAGAGGATGAGTAGCCGTGAAGGGTCACTCCCTTCCTCCATCTCACCTTCCTCTGGTCCCTCTGAAAGTCTCCCAAGTACTGAGACACCAGAGAGGGTGAGGAAGTCAGTGTTCTCTAGCCTGAGCAATGTTGTCTTGCAGTGCTTTAGAAAGTGCCGTGGGAAGAGTAAGTGTAGTGAGGAGGAGCCTGGGCGAGGTCACTCCAACACCGTGGACTCCTCCTCCTGAGGAAGACACCAGGCCCTCGAGCAGTGATGGCTGCATGCTCACCCAGCCTCGTTGGCTGAGCATATCCAACCTTCCACAAGTGCTCCTAGTCTGGTGTTCATGCATGCAGGAAGCTTCAGCAGCACACACACACACACACACACACACACACACACACACACACACACCCAGGTGGCCTAAGGTGGTCACCTAGTTCTAGAACATGGAATGTGGAGGAGAAAATCCGGTCACTCTTTTGCCCCAAGAGGAAGAACTCCTGACACCTTCCTCAGGAGACTGCTATCAACTTGACTGAAATAATGATCGTGCAGAGTGTGTGGGCCCCTGGGAGGAACTAGAGGAACCAGTCCGTGAGCACAGTACCCACTGATTGTCATTAGTGGTAGAACTGATATTTTCCTTGGGATTTCATTAAGGTTGAATTTTTACACAGCATATTGGTCCGCATCATCCAACCACCAGACTCAATGTGCACTGTGAAGACAATGCCTACGCCATATTTGCCAAATGCATTGTTCTAATTACCCCTTCCTATCACAGCCTGAGGATTTGACAAAAGCCACTGTGGTTCCTCTTTGGTTGGCCATCTGATTTAGTTTCCCTGTTTGGGTTATCATGCCAGGGCATGAACAGGCACCAGGCTCTCCAAGCACTGTGAGTTAACCTAGTTAACTGAGACAGCTTAAGATCTTCACAAACCCCTCCCTCTCCCTTGTGATAGCAAATGCAAAATGCTGACTTTGGTTTTGGTACTTTGGTATGGCTCTATTGTTTTTTTGTTTTTTTTTTTTTTAACTACCAAGTGGGACATATTACAGAACTTTTAAGTACTGTTTAAAATTAGGAAGTGGTTATAGTAAAATATCCCAGAAGCACATTTGAAAAATGATCATCAGGCTGGAGATAGTGCTCTGCAGTTAAGGGCACCTGCTACTCTTGCAGAGGACCTGGCATTGTTTCCCAACACCCATACTGGGTGGCTCACAACCGCCTGTAACTCTAGTTCCAGAAGATCCAACACCGTTGCCTGGCCTCTGTGGACAACTGCACGCATATGACACACATACATACACACATTCCCTCACATCTACACACAAATAAAAAACACCCATCTTTTTTTTGAAGCAACTGAGTGACATAAGAGTGGCATTTCATAAATTTCAGTATCTATTTTGCAGATAAATGTGCCCAGAGCAAGGAATGGGAGTGGCATTGCTATGCTCCCTCTGTATCAATATTGCGTTTAGTTGTTTTTGTGTAAGCTGATATCCTGTGGGAAACATTCCCACTGTGGCTTCCCTCTGCACTCTCAAGTTTAGAATCCTTTGTTAAATTACAGGAGATCACATACCGTGGTGCCCCTACATTTTATGTCTGTCATCTTTACTCCTGAATAGTCTCCTACTCAAATAGCCAAGTGTCTTGGTTAGGGTTTCTAAGACACCGCATGACCAGAAGCAACTTGGAGAGGAAAGGGTTCATTTGGTTTCCACAACATAGTCCATCACTGAAAGAGGTCAGGACGGGATCTCAAGCAGGGCTGGAACCTGGAAGCAGGAGCTGATGCAGAGGCCATGGAGGAGTGCTGCTTACTGGCTTGCTCTTCGTGGCTTGCTCAGCCTGCTTTCCTATAGAACCCAGGACCACCAGAAAATGCCCTACAGGCTTGCCTGCAGCCCAATATTATGGGGTCATTTTATCAAAAGTCCCTTTTCTCAGATGACTTTAGCTTGTGTCAAGGTGACATAAAAGCTATCCAGCACACCAAGACAAGTGAACAGTCATGATTTCATAACTCTCGTGGTTCAATGCACACAATTTGGTTCATGTATAAAATTATTAAAAGACTGTATGAAATTATCTTCAGTTGTGTATACTAGGCACATAATGTACCTTCATATGAAGGGTACATAAATTTCATGTATAAAATTATTAAAAGACTGTATGAAATTACCTCAGTTGTGTATACTAGGCACATTTATGTACCTTCATATGAAGGATACAGAAATTTTGAGCTAGGCTGGGATTCTACTTCTGAGAAAAATCATCATGTATATGATAACATTCCAAAATTTAAAAGTTCCCAAATCCAAACCATAAAAAAAAAAAAATTTTTTTTTCTTTGATTAACATGCATGCCTCATGGGTGTAGGTGCCTGCAGAGGCCAGAAGAGGGCATCAGATACCCTGCGGCTGAAGTTAACAAGCAGTCCTAAGAGGCTCAATCTCTGTTGCCCGCAAGAGAGGCAAGCGTTCTTAAGGGCTGAACCATCTGCCTCTCCATTCCCAGGCCCCCCTTAGAAACCTTTCTGATAGCAGGCACTTAGAGATATCAGATGTGTTTAATAACCGTAAGGCTACAAAAGAGACAGGTCAGGTAGCTGCTAAAGTAATAGAGCAGACAGCTAAGTGGAAATTCACTCTGGACAAACCCTAGCAGAGGTTAGAGTAAACAACACAAGAAAGGGAATCATGTGATGCAGAGTCAAGGCTTCATGCGAAGGCCACTCCCTCCTGAGAGCCTCCCTCTGCAGGGCTGCTGGGATGCTAGGTAAACACATTTCTGGAGGGGCATAAAGTCCAAGGCTGAGAAAGGCTCTGTTTATTAGACCTGCAAATCTGCCCTGCTATGCATGTGACTCCTTTACGACGATAAAGGTATATTAACTGTTTAAATCCAGCTTCAAAATCACCGAATTTATCTAAGTTCATGTGTGAGCTTTAGTGTGTAAAAGAATTTAATCTATTAAAGATAGATGCTAAACTCCAATCAAGGGAAATATTATTCTAATTGTACATGCTGAAATTACAA